CATTAATTCATGACTTGTTAATGTATCATTATGTCATGACTTGTCTTGGAGGGGCACATCTTTAAAAGGTTATCAATTACACATGTTCTATACATATTCAGCTCATCTAAATAGATATTTGGTGCTTTTCGGTGGTTTGTAAAGAAGTGGAAGAGCAGAGGTCCTGTGGCTGCATTTGGATGGAGAAGGAACTGAACAGTAGGAGGAAAGTTGACATTTTGAAGGGGCAATAGTGGCCCAAAAGAAGAGCAAGAACACAAGACAAACGTCTGACTGCAGTGCATTATTATGATATAAAGACAGTAAACCAATCCATAACATAAAGCGATGACCATCATCTCTATGCTAACACTGATTTTAATTTGGAAAATTGCACCTGCTTAATGAATACGTTATTGTAGGACGGCAGCAGTGGAATCACTCAAAACAGAATGAGATGAAATTGTTTTTAATTATGAATGCATCATTGTGTGTTGGACGAGTTAGGTTAAACGTAAATATTGCAAGAAATCCACTGATGTTTGTGACAGCTGCAGGTGGCAAATTTATAAACAATTTTACATTGTGCCATTTTCATACATCTTGCTTCTAGAGCGTGTTTGATTTAGTTTACCCCAAAGTGTTAATTAATACATTAACTAACATGCAGGAACTAACATGTAATTAAGGTTTAATTAAGTGTTATTCATGCAGTAGTTCATATGACTCATGTCGTAGTTAAGTTAGTTCTTCATTAGTTCTTGATTAATACATATCTTAACTCATCATTAGTTCATAGTCAAGTAATTATTAATTCAGGTATTAGTACATGATAATTCATGTACTGTTATTGTAAAGTGTTACCAAAAACACAGGCTCTTTGTGAAGGAAGCTTCATTTAGAAGCACATTCCTCCAGAACATCACTGGACGATTCATGCTTGATAGACCAAAAACTCACAAACACGCACTGCAAAAAATGATTTTCTTACTTAGTATTTTCATCTTGTTTTCTAGTATAAATATCTAAACATTCTTGAATCAAGGTGCATTTACTTTACAAGTAAAATGACTTGAGATATTATGTCTTGTTTTCTGAAAAAAATAGCCTCTGAATTAAGATCATTTTTCGTACCCCACTGGCAGATATTTTTGCTCGTTTTAAGCAAAAACTAGCAAAATTTTGATGTTTTTATTTAGAAAACAAGACTTAATATCTTTTTACTTGTCATGTGAATGCATCTTGATTCAAAAATGTTTAGATATTTATACTAGAAAACAAGACGAAAATACTCTCGTTTAACTAAGAAATAATATTAAAATCAAGGCTGTTTCTTGTGACCTTCTTCTCTTTAAAATTAGAAATTGCAAACAGCGATGAACCGATGATGATTCTTATTTCATATTAATGTCATCTCTAAACTGAACTAATTTATGAAACAAGTGTGATGTTTAATAAAGGGAGTTTAAGACTTTGTCTTCATCTAGAGTGTTTAAATTTAAAATAAATGTAAATTTGCAAACAACCCTGATTGAACTGGCCTTTTTTGAAAATTGCTTTTAATTCCAAATTACAGTAAAAATGATATTTTTTCCACTAATGTAGCACATTACATTGATACAGTAATTTGATGTGTTTGAGTAATTTGAGAATGTTTGCACTTTACATTTTGCACATCATGCTTCTTCTAGATAAATTATGTTAAGATAAAGATAAAAATGTTCATGTAGATAGACCCATCTATGAGATACACATACATGTATATATTTATATAAATCATATATTTAATATATAAACATTTTTCTTAAATATATACATGCATTAGGGCTGGACGATATGGCCAAAATTGATATCACGATATATTTCTTAATTTCGGTCGATACGATATAATTCCGATATCGATATGAACACTATTCAGAGATACATTCATATAAAACACCCGCGCCGTGTTATGATTTTGAAACGTGCAGTGCTCATGTTTATTCAACGAAGTCAAACGGCACAAATAAATCAATGTATGGGAAACTGGTAATGTATATCGAAATATCGGAAATGTGTTTAAAAATCATATCACCGTTATTGAAAAAAATTATATCGCGATACATATTGATATTGAATTATTGTCCAGCCCTAACATGCATGTGTGTATTTATATACACATAATAACACGCACATACTGTATATTATGTACACAAAACATTTATTTTGGATGCGATTAATCTTTGCCCAGCACTAATAAATACATTACATTTATTTACTATTATGAAGTACTTCACAGTTCACTAGTATTACAGTGACACTGTATTGATTTACTATTTATAATTTGATAATCAATAAAAATGTGATGCGTTTCCACAATTTGTTAGCTTTAGTCCCTGCACAAATGGACTCACCTAAGAGCTGCACCAGGTTTGGGTGTTTGATTTCTTTCATAACCGCAGCTTCTTTTAAAAACTCCTCCACTTCCATTGTGTCCTCCTGCACAAGAGGAAAAACTGTTGTCAACCAGCATTCATCGCTGCATTAGGATTGTCATGCTCTAATGCAATAGAGGGCCACAGACAGCAGAGAAAAACAATGCTAAATGTGGATTATTTGACGGTATTTTCATTATATTGATCTGTCATGCGGCAGAAGCGCCAGAAGTAAACATGGCCTCATCCTCAGAAAGCATGAGCAAAACTACAAACACCACCCTCATGGCATTAAGCGAGAATGATTTTCTTACTTAGTATTTTCATCTTGTTTTCTAGTATAAATATCTAAACATTTTTGAATCAAGATGCATTCACATGACAAGTAAAATGACTTGAGATATTAAGTCTTGTTTTCTAAATCAAAATTGTTAGTTTTTGCTTAAAACGAGCAAAAATATCTGCAAGTGGGGCAAAAACAAATAATCTTGTTTAGCCTTTGAATTAAGATATTTTTTCTTGTCCCACTGGCAGATATTTTTGCTCGTTTTAAGCAAAAACTAACAAATTTGTATTTTTTTAGAAAACAAGACTTAATATCTCAAGTCATTTTACTTGTCTTGTGAATGCATCTTGAATGAAATAAGATATTAAGTCTTGTTTTCTAAATCAAAATTTTGTTAGTTTTTGCTTAAAACGAGATATCTGCCAGTGGGGTAAGAAAAATAATATTTTTTAGTCTTTGAAATAAGATAATATTTCTTGCCCCACTGGCACATATTTTTGCTCGTTTTAAGCAAAAACTAACAAAATTTTGATAAGATATTATGTCTTGTTTTCTGAAAAAAATATCACTTTTTTTTTTTTTAAGAAAACAAGACTTTAAGATATTCTTAAAGTCTTGTTTTCTTAAAAAAAAAAAACATTTGATAATTTAAAAAAAAAAAACAAGACATAATATCTTATCAAAATGTTACTTATGTAAATGCATCTCGATTCAAAAATGTTTAGATATTTATACTAGAAAACAAGACGAAAATACTAAGAGAATCGTTTTTTGCAGTGTGATGCGTTCTCGATGGGTGGCTCTGACCTTCAGTGTTTTGACAGCCACGGTCAGGTTGTATTTCTTCCAGACGCCCTCGTACACCTCTCCATACTGCCCTCCTCCCAGCTTGTGCTTCATGGTGATATCTGTGCGCTCCATCTCCCACTTGTCGTAGTTGGGCGAGACGCCGTAGATGGTGGGCTTGTTGCGTTTGGGCGCTGGGTAATGCAGCATGGTGATCAGACCGTCAGACACGGTGGAATGATGGTGAACCAGCTCCGCCAGAGTGTTAAAGCGGCTCTCCGATGAAACATACAGCTGCAGAGGAACAGACACGAGAGTGTGAGCGAGATAACAGCACAGAACCGAGCCTACAAACCCAGCAGAAGACACAAACACAAGTTAAGATAAAACGACTGGCCGCTGATCCCAGGACGCACTGCATTAAAGTCACCATGAAAACAAAATGGACTATTCTGATCTCTACGGAATATGCAAGGTTTATTATAAATGTTTTATCAGTGCACATCGTTTTTTAAAATTCATGTTTTCTCATATGTGAGCCTGGAGCACAAAAGCAGTCTTAAGTCGCTGGGGTATATTTGTAGCAATAGCCAACAATACATTGTATGGGTCAAAATTATACATTTTTCTTTTATGCCAAAAATCATTAGGATATTAAGTAAAGATCATGTTCCATGAAGATATTTAGTAAATTTCCTACCGTAAATATATCAAAACTTAATTTTTGATTAGTAATATGCATTGCTAAGAACTTAATTTGAACAACTTTAAAGATGATTTTCTCAATATTTAGATTTTTTTGCACCCTCAGATTACAGATTTTCAAATATTGTCCTATCCTAACAAACCATACATCAATGGAAAGCTTATTTATTCAGCAAAACAAAAAAACCTTTATGACTGGTTTTGTGGTACAGGGTCAAATATAACCAATGTTTTAAAATGATTTGAGTCAAGCATTTCACATCTCACGTGAGTATGAATAGTTGTTACATAACTTGTGCAATGATATTAATGTGCATTTTTGAAGCCACTTCAGAGACTATATTTATCCACAGACTTGATATAAACAACCATAACTGAAACAAAGCATGTAAGCATGTAAATATCAATCTTGACACGCGTTTTTAAATATCAATCTCTTTTAAACGTTATGTGCTAAAGACATCCATCTGAAACATTACAAGCGTTAACATACTGTAACATTGTAACATTCAAGAGTGATACACTGAAGAAGCCTCATTAATGCATTCACGCAGGAACAACCAGGATTTAACAGGAAACAGTGCATTCGAGTGTGTTTAAATGCACCTTTTTAACCATTCATTGGTGTGATAACTGCATTTTGAACACTTTATTCATCCATACGCTTCAGATGTAGCAGGAGGGTCAAGAACTTGGATTCATGTCATGTGTATCGGTCAAGTGTCCTGAATGGAGTTATATGATACTGGCTGTGTAATTATTAAAAGCAGCTATCCTTACTAATTGCCAACGTTTAAGCAATTGTGTACATTTTGAAACGTCAGAGCAGGTTAAAAGTGAGCAGCTGAGCTGGAATGGTGTGTGGAGCTCATTCCTGACGGCTTACACTGGAGATTCCAGCAGGGAAGTGTGAGGCGGCCGAGGCGCGTCAGGCATGCGAGGAATGAGCGCAGGAATGCAGCGCTGCAGTGCATGCGTGACACATGGACTCACTCATCAACGACTGCCTTCACTACTGAGCGCTGCTGTCAGGAGAGCACTTCAGCATGCTATTGGAACACACTCCATAAGGGATGCACCGAATGTTCCGCAAGAAAATAGCAAAAAAAGCACTTTCGGTGTTCGGCTGAATAAGCGAAAAGACCAAATAATATGAACTAGGGCTGTCAAAATGGCTGAAAAACTAAATTCGAATTTTGTACTTAAACATTATCAATATTCGAATTTAAAATGCATAATTTCAGTTAGGGGGGAAACATGCGTTTGTCTTCTCTCTCTGAGGCCACAAGAGGGCGCATCGAGCTAAATATTACTAATGCACGCTTATTCAAAGCAATACAATAACACGACTATCTGTGAAAAAAGTGCATGATGTTTAAAATAATGCTTATAAACCATATATAATTAATTAAGTTGCTTAAACAATTAGAAACAAAACAGCATCATGAATGTATAGTTGAATACAAAGGACCGAAAACCAATCACAAAGAGTGCTTTTTCATTTAAAAACATAAGATGCAGTGGGATGGGACGTCTCGAGACGTTTTTTAAAAGTTGAATTTGCGTTCATTTTCTATGGCTTTCTAAACATGCGGCTCTCTTGTGCGAGACGCGAGTGCAACGCTGATAGATGTCCCTCTAGAAAATGCGATAAATATGCATTCTGTGTGAACGGCTTGGTTTCAGTTTTGACGTAAACAACATCTTCTCCGCATTGATGTTCTCTTTTCCCGCAATATTTCGAATGAACAACCTAGCAGCCCTCATCCAGTGGCTTTAACTGAATAAGCTATGAAAAACATTAAAACGCAACGACACCTACATCGTTATCATATCTCGTGTCCACTGATAAAGCCGCCTGACACACGCCTAACATTCGAATGCAACGTTTTTGCATTCGAATGTGGATTTATATTTTAAATCCAACGAATATTTGAAATTCAAATTTCTTTTTGACAGCCCTAATATGTACCGAACAATGATGTGACGCAATCAAATAGAGGCGCGCACTAAAGCAGCAAACATGTCTGCAGTGTGAAAGCATTTAAAACTGTCCGAGAAAGACGCAAAAATCATTACAAGCACCGAGAGCAAGAGACTGTTTAGTACTGCATTCAAAGTCCAAAGCGCGAGGGAAATCTGCGCTGAAACAGTGTTACTCATCAGCTGCTCAGTAACATTTTTATGCATTTTTTAAATAAAAGAAAATTAAGACAACAATAATGATAATAATAATAATAATAATTACAACAGATCTATTAATACATTTATTATAACACTCACACATAGTGTTCAAACTGGGATTTGTAATATTTTCTAATGTTTTAAAAATTCTCTTCTGCTCGCTGCATTTATTTGTACAGTAAAAAATACATGACAGATTCAAGAAGGGGGTCTCAATTCACAAAAATGTATATTTTACTAACTTATTAATTTTAAGTTAAATTGTGCTTTGTTGGTATAGTGTCTGCTAGAATGTTAAAAATGTTCATTGTTAAGTAAATATTTTTAAATTGTTTTGTAATTGAATTTTTTTTTTGAAAAGCTAGACAAAAAAGTAAAAAGTACATTTTGGCTATTTAATTTATGCAATGTTGAAAAATTTTTTGGGAAAAATATATGGGGAAAAAATGCTGAAAAACTGTGTTCGGTATTCGGACCAGTGTTTTATTTTGTTCGGCTTGGGCCAAGAATTTTCATTTCGGTGCATCCCTATAATCCATTTAACTTTAGAAAATCAAAATAATAAATGGAAGGTTAACTGACACTGCTACTGAACTAAACTAAATCAACTACATAAAGCTGAATAATGACTCTGTCTTCTATAGAGCTGTTTATAGATTAAATGTGTTTCATAGTTGAATACTGCAGCATTAACACTTTTATTTTCCTGATTATTATTGTAAAGCTGCTTTGAAACAATGCATGCAAACAATAACTGTTAATACAGTGGCTTGCCAAAAAAATGTTAAATTCACAATTTCTTCAAGAAATTGCTAGCAACTGTTACTTAATTTCTATTGCAATATTAAGGAAGCGATGATGCTTCTCACCAGCCAATGCGATGCGTGTCAACAGTGAGGAAATCAAGACTAGTCAGTAGCCAGTTAATGAGCTAGTCTAAGTATCGTTAGTGAGTTCATTACATAATTAATTTCAGGGTAGGTAAGGGAATTAATCGTCACGTTCAGCATTTCTGTGCTCCATCACAGAACTCCACTGCGAGTAAACAGCCACCTGAATGCATGAGTGATATCACTGCATGCAGATTTATTTTTACATGAGAAACAATTACCGTCTGAAAAGGGCTTGAGCTTTTAAAAATTAGATATTTAGGGCCCTATGAAATCAGTTTTATTTTTTCCCAAATTCCATTTTTTCCATTTAAATTTTTCCAGATTCTGTTTTTTTTTTCTTTTTTGTTTTAATTTTTCTAGACTCTGGTTTAATGGTTAAATTTAAATTTTATTAATCATAAAGCATGTCTATTTAATTGAAATCATGAAACTTACAATATTAAACAGCAATTTAAATGTACATTTAGTCATTTAGCAGACGCTTTTATCCAAAGCCACTTACAAATGAGGACAATGGAAGAAATAAAAATCAACAAAAGGGCAATGATACACAGATTTATTAAAAGCTTAACAAAAATTGCATTAAGGCCTTTTGAACTGCCCCCCCCCCCCCTTATTTTTTTTACAAAATTCAGTTTTCTATAAATTTTCTGGATTCCATTTTAATGGTTTCATTAAATATTAAGAATCAGAAGCATCTCTAATTAATTGATTTTATTAAATGCGCCATTCATTCACACAGAGACACGCAGAACATGCAGGATTCATATTTAAATAGTATTTTTGCAGTTTAATATTCAGAGACACTAGTCCATATCTGATTTAGTTCATGTTCTGATTTAGGTGTACTGACCTACTTTTGATGCATCCGTCCTAAATTTTGCAAATTTCGTGACATTCCGCGTTATACAGTAAATTCCGTTTCTATGACTTGGATTCCGTCCATGTTTTCCGCATCACAGAAATCATACAGCCCTAGATATTCCAAACCAGTTTTATTTGTACACATCACGCAGCATTCTCAAACGAAATTGCTGAACGGCGTATTATTGTTCATCCCAAAGAGGCACAAAATCACTTTCACAGACTTTTTCATTAACTGTTCCCTCCTGGTGGTTTTAGACTTGCACTCATTTCATTTACTAACTGCTTGTTTTCTTAAAAAAAAAATAGCTTGCTCTATTCTATCTGTGTTCTTTTTATTTATTATATAATTAAAGAAACAAACAAACCTCGCTATGTGTACTGCGTTAAGCTAACTGAGACTTGTTATAGCACTTGCATATCATTGCTCTTTTGTTGATTTTGATTGCTTCCATTGTCCACATTTGTAAGTCGCTTTGGATAAAAGCGTCTACTAAACCACTAAATGTAAATGTATATTTCAGGCTAGTGAGAGTGTGTATTTCACCCGCTGCTAATCAGATGTGTATAATCTGATATTATCTGTAATCACTTCATTGTCACTGCTGTCAGGCTTGTGAAGCATCAGTGGAAACACTCTCTGGTTCTGAAGCTCACCTTGCCGTCGGAGGCCGTGTTGATGCGGTAGTGGTAGACGCGGCCCTCGCAGCGCAGCGAGATGGACCTCTGTCCCGGGCTGCTCTCGCTCTCGCGCACCAGAAAGCTGCCGTTGATGCCGCTGCTCAGAAGGTACTCGGCGGCATTGCGGGACACGGGCCCGTGGTACCAGCTGTGCTTCTCCAGGCTGTTGACGGGCGTGATGTAGTTGCTGGGAACCCAGCCCTGGCCGTTCTTGGTCTGCGCCTCGCACCACTCGCCATTGTGATTGTATCCCAGAACCCTCAGCTTCTCTCCTGATCAGAGCATTATGTCAAAGTCATTTCAATGTCTATTAACTCTTTCTCCGCCAGCATTTTCGTAAAAAGTTGCCAGCCACTGCCAGCGATTTTGATGATTTTCACAAAAATTTGATGGCCTCCAGTATATTTTGCTGTATGAATATTTGAATATGCAATACACCAAAATAAAGAACAGAGCCTCTACTTTAAAACAATCAGTTTTATTCTAGCTTAAAGCATTCTTTTTTTTATCAACACTTGAATATAGGTAGGTTTCATAAAAAATGTATTTGAGCAAAAAGGTGAGAAAATCCAATTTTTATCAAAAACTACATCTGGGTAATATTCAGTACGATTATCAAAGCATAAATCCAGTAAATCGCTTCCATAGAGTTAAGGCCGAAAAATAATTGATTTACAGCTGTGCCGTTGTAATTGTGGAAAGTGTGAATTAAAACAGATGCACATCTACTCCCGTTGCATCAAAGGTTTCTATTTACAAGCTTTATGCAGCATTGAGCATCATAACCAATCACAGACTGTCGGCTGAGCACATGAATGCATTAGAGATGTAATGGTATGAACATTTCTTATCACCTAATTATCACGGTTATCAGTATTATCACGGTGTTGTTAAAATGTGCTGGAAATGTTCAAAATGTACGGACACATAAATCGCTACACCATGTTTTGTATTGAAAATCAACAAATAATAAATAAAATTACTTTTTGTTTGCATAAACACTAAAACAATAACATTACCAGTGATGTCTGGAAGTACAACAGTTTATCTAATAACATGTATGAAATGTTCAAATAAAGCTTTGGAAAAGTTTCATAAAATGGTAAACCAAACATTCAGCCTTTAAATAAAGAAAAGGGTTAAGGCAAAATGATACACACGTGACACTGTTAATTAAAACTGTGCTTAATGCTGGATAGTATTTATTTATACGGAGTTGTTGAAATTGTGGAAATCGAATACGGTTTTAATGATACTTAAAATATGAAACGGTAATACTAACCGTGGGGAATTTTATTATGATTTATCGTCAAACCGGTAATGGTTCCATCCCTAGAATGCATCGACCAATCAAGAGGCGTTTAAATCCATTTAGTCCATAAACTAAAAAATCTACGTTGTTTTCATGACTTTAAAAAAAAAAAAAAATAGCCTCGGACAAACAAACGGAGTTGCTACTGTCTTACAATGACAGCTGTCAGTGTGAAAACCTTGTTCCTATATCTTTTTGAAACATTTTGGACACAGAAGGACCACCATTCAAGTGGGACTTTAATATGCCGTGGAGGGATATATAAAAGATTTTAAAATACATATTGTGGGTATTAATTTGGAAGCGAGGGTTTACAGATCACAATGCAAGCGGGAGAAGCCTCATGTTACGTTCGTCACGATCGCAGATAACAACATCCCGGATCAACACTGTTCATGTATCGCAGGGTACGATTAAATTAATTTACATTTAACCGGTTTAATATGAAGAGACACTGAAATGTAGACCTTCGTTTATGTGTTTTTGCCCTACACTGTACAAGACGCGAGAACAGTCCGCCATTTAGGTTTGTATGGACTCACTAACTTTAACATTAGCTAGTTTCAGCCAGAGATACCAAGCACAAGATGGCATTAACGTTCTGCTTGAGCAGATGAAAATTGTAACTTAGTGAGAGTATGACAACCAGAAAACGAACGTTTTTGTCTTCATTGGGATTGGGGGGGAATGCTTTGGGACATTTTGCTCCGTTTTGATTGGGTTTAGGAAATATAATAAAATAAATTCCTCTCAGGATACCTGGAATCAGTGTTACAAGTACCCCAGACACAACGTTTTTCCATTTTTGAAGCATAAACCCCATAAAAACGATGCAAGCTCTTTCTCTATGGCGCTGAAACCTACAGATGTCCGAGTTCCGCTCCCCGAGCAACTGATACTCGACTGCCATTGGCTCATCTGCGTTCGAGGGGAGGGGCTTACCTATAGGTCAATTGAAGGTGACGAGCCTTACAAGTTGATTTATCTGCGTTTAAAAAATGCCTCTGGTCATAGAAAGTTTCCAATGACTGCTGAAGCTTTTTAGCTCGGGTAGAATGTGCGATCTCTGACTGAGTTTGCTGGCTTCCATGGGTGCAATACACTGTGTTTTCCAGCAACTGGCAACCCAGGGTGTCGAAATGCTATTGGGTAAATTGGCAGTGGACGGAGTCACAGGAATCATAATCATGATTAAAATACAATTAATCCTGCAGCCCTAGTGTCCACTGGCTCTAAGAAAAAAAACGGCATCATTTTGCATAGCACAAGCTCATTAAGTATGTTTATATGCACTTCAAAGAGTTGGTTTTTAATTGGAACGCAGCAAGAATTTGTCTTTTTAAAATGACGGTGCAAATAAGAACTTATACATGGCTTCCCGTTATAGATATGTTCTCATGTGAAGAGATTCTGATGGCTAGCGGCTGTCAGTGATCAGCTCATCCACATTAGATGTCTGATCTCCATCAGAGAGCAAAAAAACGAAATTCTTGAAATTCGTTTGCTATGCATCCGAATAAAAGGATTACATGCCGAGATACTAGCAATCTTCTTTTATTCTTATAAAGTGCTCAGTCAGAGCATATTAAAATCGACAGATGTTTCGGTCATGCAGGACCTCCCTCAGTGTTCACTTTCTATTGAAACGCTTCATTTTTCGATTCAGCTCCTCACATTATCAACACACGTGTATCTAATCGATTAAATTAATGAATCAGTGACAGACCATTTACTTCATTGGCAATTTACAAATAAATCCAGAGGAGATACAGAGAAATACAGAATCAACCTTTTATTTGGATGCATAATCAAAGAATTTAGGTTTTTTTTGCTCTTTTTTTCAAGAATTGAGTTTTTTTGCTTTTTGACGGATTCTATTATTGACTTGCAATCGTGTTACATGTGAATGGAACCAAGCGCAAAATCCTCCTTTTTTCATTTTTGATCTCCATCAAATTCATGAAGTGTTTATCATAAAGACTTGGGACACTATGTGTACTTAGGGCTGGACGATATGGCCAAAATTTATATCACGATATATTTCTTCATTTCAGTCGATACGATATAATTCCGATATCGATATGAACATATTTTTGGCTCTTCAACGAATTGCTTGCGGGGTTCGCATTAGATAAAAGCATCTGCTAAATGAACAAAGCTGTACTAACTAACCTCCTGTCTGGGGCTTCTATAGGAGATGCACTAATAACAGCTTGTTATAAAACAGCGGGGTGAAATATCGTTATTCCAGGCACTGAATCCACACGCTGTCATTATCTAATGAAGTGAGGGGCGTCTGGATGGCTGTAGATCTTCCCCTCACTGATTTTCACAGGCCGAATGGAAAGAACTGACATGTTGAGTAAGATAAAGGAAGAGGAGGAGATGAAGAATGTGCAGCAAATATGTGGATTTCCAGTCAGACATGTGACCTCATATGACTGCTAATAAACGGCGGAACAAAGAGCAGCTTCTCTCATGCTGTGACTGCAGGAGTCCCAAATAAACACTCATTCACTAATGTGCATTCTGCTGTTGATACACAACTCAATGCCCATCTTAAAGGAGACTTTATTGTAAACCGTTTCTTCACCTCATTTGGTGTTCCTCGTCAAAAATGACCGCCCTTTTAAAAATTGCTTGTAATCTTGTTATACGATATTATCAGAAAATCTTTTTGTTAACTTGTTTTCTTTTAATTAGCTTAGGTTTTGCGTTTCTTTAATCAGCTGACTGATCAAAGGTCTCAATGATATGAGCTAATGCTCCTCAGTTTAGGAGTGAAAAAACATTAGTTACGGATAGTTTTGGCCATATTCACTAAAAATTGAGATGCACAAGCTCAGATCAATGAGGCCTATGATCAATCATCTCCAAAAACAAATACAAAACCTGTGTTAATTGAAAGAAAACAAGTTGATAAAAGGATTGAATCCAATATTTGGATTTAATCCAATTAGCATAATGCAATTTTTTGTAGGCTGGTCATTTTTGATCTGGAAACACCACAAGAGTACCAATGTGGGGGGGGGGGGCTGCTAGTGAACAAGGAGTATGTTCACTAGCACATTATTTGCAGATGTTAATTTCTGTGGTATCGAAGCTAGCAGCGAATACGGTGAAACTTCACTGGTACTGGTGACACCTGCTAGACTGAGGCATGATGAAGTGTTTAACGTGTTCGGATGATGAAGCATGCGATGTGTGTCTGACCTTTGGTGATGCTGAGAGTGTTATCGCCGCTCGCGACGAAGTCATACAGCGCTACGAACAGATTGGGGTCATTTTCGCTGGGTCCCGCCAGCAGATTCTCTTTGGAGTTCCAGCGCGCCGCCTCAGACAGACCCGGGGCCTCGAAATCCGGCCGCTGAAGCGCTTCTGCAAACAGACCAATACATGACAATGAATATGAGAATGCATGTTAACATATGTGTGACCCTGGAGCACAACACCAGTCATAAGGGTCATTTTTTTGAAAATGAGATTAATACATCATCTGAAAGCTGAATAAATAAGCTTTCCATTGATGTATGGTTTGTTAGACATATACATATATATATACATATACATATACATATACACACACACTGATTTTTTAAAAATCCAAATGCAAAAACGCAGAAAATACAGAGCTATATATATATATACCGTATATCGTAAATCAGCCAAAAAATACAGCGATATGAATTTTTGGCCACATCGCCCAGCCATAATAGTAACACACACCCCAAATGTAATCATCAATACAGTCAGCTCACAGTACATCACCACAACCACGTGTGTCATAAAACATCATGGACATAAACGCCAATCTGAACTTTTTAATGAGTCACATTCATTACTCTGTGCCATGCGGAGAAACACGTGCAGTGAAACGATCGTGACTGATGACCTCAGACATAAACAAGGCAAATAAGATACGGCAGAAGATTTGTTTTTCATGCATAAACTCACTGACTGGGACATGAATCAGCTTAGAGAAAAAATAAAAGAGTGTTTTAATCACCCAAAAACGGGAATTCAGTCATCATTTTCCTAATGTTGACTGAAATGCAAAAGGAAAACATTTGAGCAGTCCTCAGTGACCTTAAGCCCTAGCATGTGGATGACTGCTGCTTTTATGGGCATTTTTGGAGCCTGACAGCAATGATAAAGATTCTCCTCGTGTTCCACAGAACGACATGAGAGTCAGTAAACAATGAGGGAATGGTTAACTAACCCTTTAGTCACCCGTAAAACGCCAGTGCATTTGGGTAGTTGACAAATAATATGGATTTTTTTTTTAATCCACATCACAACTCAATGTTCAAGGCATGTACAGGAGAATTATGTAACTGGACTTCCACAATTTTTAGCTTTGCAATTCCCATTTAGCACGATCTCATGTTAAAGTCATGAGCAGCCAGTCAACATACAGCCACGAAGACATCAGGCTACAATACAATCAGATGTTTCTTTCACATTTCAGCTCCTTTATACACGACCAGTCAAACGTTGTTGAACAGTAAGATGTGTTTTTTTTTTTAAAGAAGTCTCTTCTGCTCACCAAGCCTGCATGCATCCTTGCTAAATAAAAGTATTAATTTCTATAATTTCTATAATTATACTGACTCCAAGCTTCTGAATGGTAGAGTGTACAATGTTACAAAAGCTTTTTATTTCAGATATGTTTGATCTTTAAAATTTTCTATTCATCAAAGAATCCTGAAAAAAATGTACTCACCTGTGTTCAACATTGATAATAATAATCAGAAATGTTTCTTGAGCAGCAAATCAGCATATTAGAATGATTTCTGAAGATCATGTCACACTGAAGACTGGAGTATTTTGGATCAAATAAATGCAGGCTTGGTGAGCAGAAGAGACTTCTTTGCAAAACATTAAAAATCTTACTGTCCAAAACAAAGACTGGTAGTATACACTCACGCCATTAGAACAACATTTCAGAGTTTTAAAGGGGTCCTATTATGCTTTTTCAATTTTTTTATTTTAGTCAGTGTGTAGTGTGTATGTTTGGGCATAAAAAAGATCTACAAAGTTACAAATTCCACTCCAAAGGGAGATATTTCATTTTGTTTAAATCCCTTTTCAAGAACTACAACGAACAGCTCATTTGGACTACAGCGTTGTTTTGTACACACACACACGCTCACACACACACACACACGCTCTCGCGCACACACACACACGCTCTCGCGCACACACACACGCTCTCACGCACACACACACGCTCTCACGCACACGCTCTCACGCACACACACACACACACACACACACACACACACACAC